GGAAAGAGTAATAACATGGCTGGACCATCAACACAGCCCTGGTTCCAACACGGGACACCAGCAGCAAGGCTCTCTGGGCTCCAACAGGCATACCACATGATGGGAATATGCAGAGACTATGCTCGAAGGGAAGACAGATCCTGCATAACGTTTAACTCTGCATGTTCAGAGCTCAGAGTATCTGGAATCCACAGCCGCCTTTGCTTTAGGGCCAACACTACAGAAATCTGCTTCACTTGCGAGCTGCTGCAATGGAGCAACTGCATTCCTTACCAGAGAGCAGGAAGATGCCAGGACAGATCTTTGCCAACCCAAACAACCTGGAAAGGGGCCTTGCTGATGCCAGCAAACCGATTCAGCTGGATTCAATGCAAGAATGAAGAGAAGCAGAAAATGTAATGGGGAGATCTTGGTTTCTTCAAGTAAGCAGGGGATGAAACTGCTGAGAATCCTTGGAAGCAGCACTGAGGAAGACCCAAGGAAGGGAGCCAAAAGGAGATCAGATCAGGAGCATCCGTTCTCTACAGGCTCCCCTCCAGCCTCTCTTCTACATCACTGGCCTCCTGGCTGTTTCAGTCTCCAACATTTGAAAGAGAGGCAAAAGCTAAAGACAAATATTTCCAAAGTTTTCATAATACGCAAAGGCATGCCTGCCACAGGACAGCCTCTGAGAACAGGTATGTCCAGGGGGTAGTGCTCACACAGAAGCCAGGTCTTACCCAATATAGCACTATTAAGAGCAGCACACACAGGTTCCCTCTGGATTGGGTCCAGCTGCTGACCAACAGGGCAGTTCCAAGGGTCAGAGTAAGCTAACAAGCTAAATGCATCCTGTGAGAGACAACAGAAAGGCATGGTAAGGTCACACATGATGGCAAACATGCAGAAAAACCACCAGGTCTATCAGCCAGGGCACCTCCTGCAACCACCAAGGTGACAGGTGCCTACCTCCTGAAAATAAATGGCCTTTTTCTTCTTGGTAGCAAGGGACCACATTGGGCCATCAAGAGAGGATTAAAGAGGGAGCTCTCTCCACCTGGCAGGGGAGCCAGAACGGGAAAGCACGTAGAGTTTCACCTGGAGAGAAGAAGAGCATGCAGTTGCTCCAGGAAGGCAGGTGGGTGCTGCACTTCCTCTGTCCTGCACTGAGAACTGGGTTCATGTTGAATGCTTCATGTTGACTTAGTCATGACCTCTGATTCCCACACAGTCTCCCTCTTCCTCTCCAGGTACAGAAGTGGGGGCCACCCAGAGCTCTGCAAGGGAAGCCACAACTCCAGTCCTGGCCCAGAGAACTGCTGTGATGCAGCATACAGCTCAGACCTACCTGAAGCATCTTTTTGTGCATCGTATTCTTCCCATATTCTCTGCAAAGCTGCTCGCTCAGTGACTGCAACTCCCGTCCAAACTGGATCATTCGTTCCGTGGCAGCATGGTTCCCTCCACAGAGCTGCCTCTGAGGGCAGTTGTCTTCTAGAGTAAAGACACTAGAGAAGTGACAATTGTCTCTCATTCTCCACCACTGCTCACTCTGTGTCAGGCTGCCCTTTTCTTAGCCATAAATCCCCCCTCCCTCGCCTTTCAGGAGCAGGTAGATTCTCCTTGGTCTAAATTTACACAAGTGGAAGCTTTCTTTGAGTCACAAATCACAAGAGCCAGTAGGGTTTTTTTCATGGCATCTGTTTGGTACAGGGTAAAACTTGAACTCAGTTTGTTTAATGCTCAAGGAGTGTCTACAAATCAAGTCTTCCGATAAAATCATGGGAGCTTGCTACTCTGGCTCTGTTACCCTTACATGTGTGTAATACAGCACACACAACACCAAAATCCCTGGTCTAACAAACCCTGGACTCAGAAAACTTTCAGTCCTAGATACCAACAACATCAGCTTCCCAGTATCAGGTGGCCATAGGACCCACTGAAAGTGGAGGAATTCCCAGTTTCAGAGGGAGTGCAGCTGAGGCATCCTTTCCCTCTCAGCTAAAGCACCCACAAACAGGACAGATATAGCTGACTGTGAATAGACCATACTGTGTTGGGGATATTTTGCAACTGCGAATCAAACGGCTTTTTCCTCAGCTGGTAGAACCACCAAGGCTGCTCTGGGCTAGAATTCATGACCAGCACTAAACAAACCTTTGACTCCTCTTGCTTTCCCTGCTTCACAATATCACCAGAACTTCTCTGAGACTACAAAAAGCCAAATCTAGTTTTAATTCCAACACAGATTCATGTTCCCTGTGAAACAGAGATCTTGAGAACTTAATTCACTGGGGCTAGGAAAGAGACCCAAAGGGCATGTCTCTTTCCCACAACCCAATCACATCTTTAATTCTTGATACCAGCTCTTTCTAGCACCCTTTACCCCTTCAACATTCTGTGCAACAGAGATCCTTCCTGTTAGGCCCTACCCATGCTAGATTCATCCGTCTGCAGGATCTCTTCATGTTTGTAGGTGCCATTCATTATCCTGGTGGATGAGTTTTCCAGGACTCCATTGGGATAATGTTCAGCCTCCATTTCCATCTCACTGTCACTGAGGAAAAAGAAGGAAAGAAAGGCCAGATGTCTAAATTAGAAAGGGAAGAAATGAAGAGCTCAGATGACAAACGATGCCCAGCCAACAGCCAGTAAATCAGATTAGATGCCAGCTAGATTACAGAGAGCAGGATAGTCTAACTCAGTGCAGCAAAAATTGTTGCAGACTTCTGGGGGCAACTTACGAAACAGACTTTATTCTCAAAGTGCCTGTCATAATGTCAGGTGTACAGTGCTTATAACCTTTCATTTCAGGAAGCAGTCATCTCTGGAGCAGCCAGACAACAGAAAACATACTAAGCAAACAGGAGGGAAAAAATGGCCAAAGATACATGGTAAGCCACCAACCCTTACAAAAAATGCACAAAGACTCTAGGTTTAAATGTTCAAGACAGTAATCTGCAGAAGATTGCTGATTAACTCAGAAAACTGAAATGATGAGATAATCTTGCTGGGACTTGGGCTCCACATTTCAAAAACACTCAGCATAAACTCAGCATTATCAGATGATGTTGGAAGGTGGTTGGTTGAGCCCAAACAAGTGTTTCTCATTCAGTTACCAGCAGTATGGCTCTTGGGAGGTCCGGATAGAGACCAGAAACTGTCTTGCAAACTGTTCAGCAAACTACACAAATGATAAATGCCAGCTCCAACTAGTAAGAGATCCTACTAATTACAAAGATTTCCTTTGCTCCAGCAGGCCCCCAGAGAGCTCTGCAACAGCAACCTGGAAAGTGAGCCCAAAGGGAGCTCAGTTCTCACCACATACTCCACACTCCAGTACATGCAGCAGTAATTATCCTCTGCTTTCCTTGGACTGCCTACGGCTTCTTGGAGAAGAGAGGCTTTCTAAGTCTGATCTGCTGTCAGAAGTATGAAACAAATTACCACTGGTTCAGAAGCTCAGCTCAAAGGAATTGAGCAACAGGTGCAAGTGGTCCAGGAAAAACACTCAAGAGGACAATTCAAAAATCCAATAATCACTTGGGAAGCTCCTTCACCTTCTAAAGGGCAGGTGAGCTACACATCAGTAGTATTCCACTAGCTGATGGAGCAGCACCAGAAACAGGCTCAATGGGAGAGCTCCCCTGCAAACCATCATGTGGGACACTCATCAAGTTCAATAGGACAGCTTGGTGCTTGAACCAAGACCATCCATAATATTCCTCACGAGACGAGCCTCCACAGCCCAAGCCAGAACAGGGAACAGGGACAGACCTGTCTCTGCTTGGAGTAGTGACCTTGTAGCTATGAAGAGTTACTCTGTTGTTCAGAAAAGCAGGACAGATGCTCTGCTGGCTCTTCAAAAAGCAGACTGAGTTGTCTCCCATCTCACCCACATCAGGCATCAACAAGGAAAATAAAAAAAATACCTGGTTTCTTGGTTACTTGTACTACTGTGCTGCTGAGATTTGGTAGAATCTGTAGAATTGGACTCAGAGTAGTTCACAGATGAGGGGGAGGAGGAAGAGGAAGAGGAAGATGATGAACTCAGTGCTGGGTATTTACTACGGCTCTGTTTGCTTTTTGTGGACATGACTCCATTGCTACAGGTTGGACTATCTGCTCCTAAAAGCCAAGAAGGAAGGGAAAAATGAGACCAGAATAACTGTATCACTCTACTGTGAAGTCAGCAATTTAGCAAGAGACGACAACTCCAAAGGAAGGAAGCAAAGGAAGACTGCAAATCTTAAATTATGGTTCATCCTTATTAAATTTAATGGGGTTTACAGAAAACCTATTAATATGGAAGGAAACCCACAGCACACCAGCAACATCTGAGCTTAAGTAAGTATCAGAAATTTTCTGTAGATAAGAGATCAGCAGAACAAGCTCAGGCAAACACAGAAATAACACAGAAATCATTGCTGAAATATGAAGTGTGAATCTCATGTTTACAAACTCTTTTCTTCTCCCATAAACCCACATTTTCTTCCATACAATGAAACTAAAAAAGGAGAAAACTGGGCCACAAGGAGGACACTAAAAGCAGAGTAACTTCCCAGACATTCCACAACTTACCTGACATTAGTTATATGCTTGATTTACACAACACTCAGCAGTTAACAACAATTTGTTTAAAATCACAAGCTGACCCTCTTCATTCAGGAGTGACAGACATCACTGAAAGGAGGGTCATGCTTTAAATCTGATCTTATCCCACATGCAACATTTATCTTTCAAGTTGTGGAACTCCCTGCGACAGGACACAAAATGTTGGTAGTTACTGCAAGTTTTATATGGATTCAAAAATTACTAGTTAAATTTACTAAATACCAAGACAACTACAAATCACTAGGAGTTCAAAGAATATTTTGGAAAAACATCACTAATGGCTTTCCTTTTTCCTTAGACAATTAATATTGAGCACAGGATACTGGACTAGACGACTCAACCTGGCACAGATGCTCTTCCAGGACTGATGGTACTAGATTCAAGTCCAGCACTTGATCCCACAGTTACATTTATAGCTCAGGAATTTATTTATATTTTTATCACTGCAAAACACATAACACATTCATACAACAAAGGCCATTTTGTGTTATTTTAATGACAGAAGAAAACATGTAGCAGACTGCGCACAACAGCCCTTTTTAATCTTTGAAGCATTGACTGAAGAAAATATCACTATTTTGAAAGGACAAAGGTCTGACAGAGTGAGCTGTGGAAGACTGCGTTCAGTTAATGAAGACAAACATACATGAAGGCTGCCTTGCCTTTGCAGCTATTTTATGCAGGCATTTCTCAGGTGAAAACAGGTATTACCAAGAGGTTCTACAGACAGATGCAGCTAGCTCCATCTACAGACATTCTGACTACCTAGTCAAAGAAATGTAGCCATGGTTTCTGCAATATGATATAGGAAAACAAATACCGGCTTAGGAAAGTGACAGCTTGGAGGTACTCAAGTAATCACCTTCCTCTCCCTTAAATGTTTGTATAGTATGCATATCCAGAACTTTTCATGCACAGCAGCAGAAGTACAAGAAGGAAACATGCTCAGAAGACTGCGAGCAGCTCAAGGATCAGTGAAGCCACTCAAAGTGTTTTCAGCTGCCCTCCAGATCAGAGTCTTTGGCCCACTCTGTCTTCAAACCCTTAATCAGTAATTACCTAGGGAATATACTTTGTGTTTCCTTGTTTACCTTGCTCTTCCTGCTTCAAGTCCTAAAGTTTTATTCTTCAAACTGCAAAAAGCTGATGTTTCAGAGCTGAGTTTTGCAGATAGAGAATTGTTCCCATTTCACACATCCAGAGCTTATAAGATATGCTCCACAGGAGAAGGAGAAGCTCTCATGCAAGACATCCTCCTAACTTTTTGCTAAGTGGGCCAGAACAGTACATCTTCTCTTCGGCCTGAGGAGGTTGTGGCAGTTCTGGAGACTGAAGGGCCCCTACAGAAAACCAATTCTCTCTTGCAGACCTCAAGGTACAGGAGACAGGCTTCTTTTTCCAGGCCTCTGCTTACAGCTTGGTCTATGAAACACTGAGTCACATGATGGCTGCACTAGAAGACTGCCTTTAGGAGCTTCTTTATTCTGAAAAAAAATCTGCTCTGCAGACAATTCCGTAACAGCGTAGAGGCACCTATGGTAACTGTACAACATCTCAGATGGGAATCAGAAAGGTAAGGAGCATTTCACAGAATAATGCACAAAAAGTAGCAGGTAATGCATACAGCAGCCCACCTTTAATATTTGCTCCTCTCACCAGGAGACAGAGAAAAAACACTTACCAGTACTATGAACATGTGAGTTGTTTGATCCATGTCTAGGACTTAAACTGGGGGACTCAGGGTAACTGTCCTGGGATCTGGGGCTGCGGGCACTAAAACAACGTACTTCACTGTCTGTCCCATTCACCATCTCCACAAACTGCCGACACCTGATTTCATAAGAAGGAAGAGAGAAAAAAGGGACCATGACAGCCAGCATGTTCTGCATTGATGTTTCCTTAGTTACTGCTCGCAGAAGTCCTATACATTGGATAGGAGTTAAATTTCTTGGCCTTGGAAAAGGCATTGTAGATTCTTGATGCCTTTGTATTGTGAGTGCTCTGATCATGCTGCAGTAGGAAGGAGCTCAGATATTCCCACTTAAAGGCTAATGAACGCTGACATCTATACAAGGGAACAACATGCAGCAATATCTTTCAACCCCATGCTTACAGTAAATAAGTGAGCACTACTTGAGTAACTTGAGAAACTGCTCAGTGTTCAATATCAGCAAAAACAGAGATCAGGACAGCAAATACATTTGGGATCAATAGGGCCAGTGATGTATCAGCTGTCATAATATCAGGGGTGAAACACTTCACAAATTCAGAACACAGCACATTTTTTGCATGGTAAGACTGTCCCAGGGCTTTGATAATATTTCTGCAGTTAACCAAATGCTCCCAAGTCTCTACTGCTCCAAACCCAAGAGAATTCATGTGATGGTGAGCTGGCAGATGGGACTTATGACAGAGTGCAGAGTCTTCTTTGTCCCATCAAGAAAGTTTATTTCTGTTGTGCTAATAGCAAATTATTCCTTCACAGTGTGCTTTCATCCCCACTGCCTTTGCATGCACTCCAAAATTAGATTGTGGGGTTTTTTTCAGAGAGAAGATACTAAATCTGCCAATACAATAGTTCCCCCACTATCCCATCAACCTAGAAATGCTGGTGGCCAATGGAAAATAGAGAGGAAGGAGTAAAAAACACAATATCTACGCTAACAGGACAGTGAAGGCAGGTCTCATTTAGCATTATTGGGAACTGAGGCATACTCTGTCCTTACCCTAGCTCAGGAGGCTGGGAAGAGCCACTCTGTGGCTGGGAAAACTAGGACACACAAGCCCTTTTTTTCTTTAGTCTCTATCACATATATCCCTTTTCCATAAATTTGTCTTTCTAGAAACCTCCCCAGTGACCATCACAGGCTCCAGTGTTGCAAGGTCTCCACAGGACAAACAAAGGCCATCTGTGAAGGTGCTTCTAGCAGTCAGCAGGGCTAAAATTTTCTCCACCTCTGCCTGACTCATGAGACAAAGCTATTCTGGGTCTAAGCAGTGACAAAAGGGCTATGCCTATATTGCTACAAGCTCTGTGCTGTTGTTGACGAGTTGTGTCATCAGGTAAAGGAGTTACGGGAGGAAGGCAGTAGGCTGCACAACATCCGAGAAGATGAGCAAGAGATAGACAGGGTATTCTCAGAGACCATACAGCTACAGCAGTCCCAACCCCCCCACAGCAGTGGAGCTGCTGGAGGGCTCTGTGCCATGTGAAACAGTACAGCATAACACCGTTGAAGAAGGCTGGAAACTGGTCACTTCTCTTACTCCTCCTCAAGACTTGCAATTGAGGAACAGGTTTAATGCCCTCCAGGCTGAGGAGGAGCTGGGCGTGGCTTCAAGGGAAGCAACTGGGCCGACAGACCCTGTGCCATGCAGAACACCAGGAAGAAGTGGCAAGTGATTGTTGTGGGTGACTCCCTGCTGCAGGAGACAGAGGTGCCTATTGGGTGACAGAGCATTGGAACAGGTTGCCCAGAGAGGTAGTGGAATCTCCTTCGCTGGAGATATTCAAAACCCGCCTGGATGTGATCCTGGGCAATCTGCTCTAGGTGACCCTGCTTGAACAGGGAGGTTGGACTAGATGATCTCCAGAGGTCCCATCCAACCTAAACGATTCTGTGATTCTGTGATTCTATCTTCCAAACTGACCACTTGTCTAGAGAGGTCTGTTGCCTGCCAGAGGCTCAAATACGAGATGTCATGGAAAGACTGCCAAGGCTTGTCCATGCATCGGACTATCACCCTCTGCTGCTCTTCCATGTGGACACTAATGTTACAAAGGGCAAATTGGATACCATCAAACAGGATTTCAGAGCTCTGGGAATGGTGGTCAAGGGTCTGGGGGCCCAGGTCATTTTCCCCTCAATCCTGCCAGTGAGGGGGAAGGATGGGAGGAGGAGTAGACGGATTCTGCAAGTTAACAACTGGCTGTGCCGCTGGTGTTGGCAACAGGGTTCTGGTTTCTATGACCATGGGACCCTGTCTGAAGATTGACAACTGATGGGGAGCGATGGGATCCACCTCACCAAGCGGGGCACGTGTGTCCCCTTTGCCAACAGGTTGGCCAGCCTGGTAAGGAGGGCTTTAAACTAGGAAAGATGGGGGAAGGGGAGTGTTATAGAGACTGGGTAGTCAGCAGAACGCGGCTCAAGTCAGGATGCCTCCAGCGAGTGCATGCAGCCAGGGAAGTGCACACAGGACATGACTATGGAGATGACTCTTGCACCTCTCCTGGGAAACCTGCATGCTCGATTGGCTCTCTGAAATGCCTGTACACCAATGCACACCAGCATGGGGAATAAACAAGAAGAATCAAGAGTTCTATGTGCAGTCGCAGGGCCATGATCTCATTGCAGTTACAGAGATATGGTGGGATAGCTCGCATGACTGGAATGCTGCCGTGGATGGCTATGTGCTTTTTAGGAAAGACAGGCCAGGAAGGCGAGGTGGTGGAGTTGCTCTTTATGTGAGAGAGCAACTAGAATGGATGGAGCTCTGCCGGGGGGGCGGGGTGAGGGGTGGATGAAGAGCAAGTTGAGAGCTTATGGGTCAGGATTAAAGGGCAGGGTAACACGGGTGACACGGTGGTGGGTGTTTAATACAGGCCACCTGATCAGGAAGAAGTCGATGAGGCCTTCTACAGACAGCTGGAAGTAGCCTCATGATCACAGGTCCTGGTTCTCATGGGAGACTTCAACCACCCTGACATCTGTTGGCAAGACAGCACAGCTAGGCACAAAGAGTCAAGGAGGTTCCTGCAGAGCATTGTGGATAATTTCTCAACACAGGTGGTGGAGACGCCAACAAGGAAACGCGCGCTGCTAGACCTTGTACTAACAAGCAAAGAAGGTCTGGTTGGAGACATGAAGGTTGGGGGCAGCCTTGGCTACAGTGACCGTGAGATGGTAGACTTCAGGATTGTGCGAGGAGGAAGCAGGGCAATAAGTAGGATTGCAACCCTGGACCTCAGGAGGGCTAACTTTGGCCTCTTTAGGGACCTACTTGGAGGAATCCCATGGGTTAGGGCCCTAGAAGGAAGGGGGATTCAAGAGAGCTGGTTAATATTCAAGCATCGCTGCTTCCAAGCTCAAGATCAGTGCATCCCTCTGAGTAAGAAGTCAGGCAAAGTGGGTAGGAGCCCTGCATGGATGAGCAAGGAACTCCTGGCAAAACGCCAACAGAAGGAGGAGGTATACAGAATGTAGAAAAGGGGATAGGCCACTCGGGAGGCATAGAGGGCTACTGTCAGAGTATGCAGGGATGTGACGAGGAAGGCGAAGGCCCATTTGGAATTAAATCTGGCAAGGGATGTCAAGGACAACAAGAAGGCCTTCTTCAAATACATCAACAGCACAAGGAAGACTAGGGAAAATGTGGGCCCACTGCTGAGTGGGGTGGGTACCCTGGCGACGAAGGATACAGAGAAGGCAGAGTTGCTGAATGACACCTTTGCTTCAGTCTTTACTGCTAAGGCCAGCCCTGGGGAATTCCAGACCCTGGAGATAAGAGAGAAAGTCTGGAGAAAGGAAGACTCTCCCTTGGTGGAGGAGGATCGGGTTAGAGATCATTTGTCCAAACTTGACACCCAGAAAGGTGAGTGGACAGTGAGGTGGATTGAGAACTGGCTGGATGGCAGAGCTCAGAGGGTTGTGGTCAGTGGTGCAGAGTCAAGTTGGAGGCCTGTAGCTAGTGGTGTCCCCCAGGGCTCAGTCCTGGGTCCAGTCTTGTTCAATGTATTCATCAATGACCTGGAGGAAGGGACAGAGTGCACCCTCAGCAAGTTTGCTGATGATCCTAAACTGGGGGGAGAGGCTAAC